GGTTTATTTGTAAAAATTGTAAGAACTGAGGCAAAAAATCAAGTGCTAGTGCATGCAAGTGTGTGTGTGTGTTCTGTCTTTGACTTTCAGATCTTTTCCCACTAGAGCGAGCAAAGAGGAATATGGAAAGGTCCATTTCCTTGTCCTAGTTTGTTCTGCCCTTAACTGTGTAAGCTAAACTGGGTCCTTTTACTTCTGTGGGCCTCAGCTGTAATGACAGCATTTTAATAGAAAATTTGTTTCTTTCCATTCCTAAAACTCCACGGCTCGAAGCACAATTTCACCTGGTCATATTACAAGTGAGTTTGGATTTCCACTGTTGCTACTTTTATTAGGCAAACCAATTTTTTTTATTAGAATCCTGTCTGGAAATTAACCCATTATATCATCATCATCATAATCTTGTAAAACATGAGATGTTCTTCACCTACTGTAAGGGACACAGCATTTATTACATTTGCAGTTTGTCAGTCAACAAATATCTGTGGTCAGGCTTCCTGTGTGGGTTGTTCCTGGGAAAGGCAGAAGCCTCTTTATGGGCAGAAACCTGTTATTAACCAAAATTAAACCCCAAATGAGTTCAACGCCTCAATCCAGCACCAGATGGTGGCCCAACAACACCTCGAGCTCATCCTGCTCCCTGCAGGTGGAGATGAAATCACAGCCCGAGACTGGAGAACTAATGTAGTGGTGTTATTTCTGCTCTTAATGGTTTAACCACACTTGTGACTCACAAAGACTGAGGCAGCCCCAGTACCCCCAACATCCCATGTGCTTGGGAGAAAATAGAAAATGTAGTGACTGAGAACATGAAGTCCTTCATATAATCCTAACCCAGGTGACCACAAAGTCACCATAATGTCTTTGTAACTGAGTCACTTAGCAAACTCCCCACAAATCATTTTAATTGTAGACCAGCTTCCCCAAGCTACTTAGCTACCCACACCACTTCCCTTTATCAGCAGAAGGAATATATAGCCTGGAAACATTCCTTGGGAAAAAAGTGTATTAATTCATAAATATATTTCAGTGCCTAGTGTTCCAGGAATCGTTCTAGGCACTAAAGATATGGCTTTGAATGATACAAATATCTCTTGTGGCATTTACATTCCAGTTGGATTGTGGCTGACAAAAAATACACTTTCCAGATTCTTCTTCATACCCTTTACACATACACCAGTTTGCCACGATTTTCTGCAAATGTGGCATTCCAAAATTGAACAAAAACCCCACCTAAGCATTCTAAAGTGCAACCCAGACTTCCACATCATAAGAAAAGTGCATTTTAAACATTTATATTTACCTTGAATATGGTAGGGGGATCAATGTGTTCTGCTTAACAGTTTGTTGGTTTCCTTTATAACTTGTATATATTTAGACCCATGGTACACAACTGCTCGCCAGTGTTTGGGGTCGATGTGTTCATGAGAGAGTCTTGCTCCCCACAAAATTACTTATTTATGGCAACAAAACTACTACTTTTTGGCATAATCATCTTTCTGATTATTTTATAAAATATGAGCCACTCTTCAATGACTATAGAGACGACAAACAAATCAGCAAAATTGTGTAACTTCGGTGAGGTACTTTCTGCAGCAAATGCCCCCCCTCTGAAATTTGTTTAGCTGAAGCATGAGAGCTTTTAGTAGACAGCCCCTGACTCGTGATGGTTCAGCTTACCACTTTTCCACTTTTCAATGGTGTGAAAGTGATAAGCATTGGAGGAAAGCTTCCTTTGAGTTTTGAATTTTGGTCTTTTCCTAAGCGAGAGATACAGAGAATGATACTCTCTCAAGACGCTGGGCAGTAGTCATAAAGGGAACAACTGACGCTCTACAGTCTGCTAAGCCAGGATGCTCTGTAGGTGAGATGCATCTGGCTTATTGTACTCTCAACTTACAGCGGGTTTATTGGGATGCAAGGTGAGCAGTCGAGAAGCACATGCGTGAGGATACCTATTGCCTAAGAAAGAGCTCTTGGGACTCCAGAACTGAAACCAGAGGGCCACTGGGCCTTGGTGGAGCCACAGCAGCTCTAGGACTCACATATTGGTGTTCCAGGTTGACACATCTCTAAGCCGCCATTTCCCTGGATGCATCTCCTCCCCCTGCTCTTACCCACGTTCCTCCAAATCTTATCTTGTCTCTGCCTTACACCTTCTTCCTATGCGTGACTGGGCTTGCACTTGGGGTTCTGTGCCCCTCTGAACATGTTCTCAGCATGCCCCCTCGCTGCCATCCGCCTGATTGGCTCCATCATCTCAATTCAAACTTTCAAGGACATTTTTCACAAAACCTGTTCCTTCCAGGCCAATCAGTGGAATTAAAGCATTTGGCAGGGCATCACGGATGGGCTGCCTGTTCTTGAGGTCAGGGACAGCCATCCTGCTGTAGAAGGTATGGCACCTGAGGGTTGGCTCATCAACAGGGCCTGCAGGCACAGCAGACACTATGGTGGTCTGGGACAGTAGATGTGGTTGGTTTGTCAGCCTTCCTATTATATTTTCTACACATTCTTCAAGAAACCAGTTCATCTGATTAACCATACTCCACCACCCAGCCTATCACTATTAGTGGAACACGAATCACTAGGATGTATTTCTTCTTTCTGTGGCAAGTGTAATTATTAAATTTCTATCATCAGTGGCTCATTTTTTTGGGTTGTATAAAATGCTTCTTCTTCAAAAGGTGCATAACTCATTTTCAGTGAGGTCTATCCCCCTCTGAGCAGGGGCCTGACAAGGTCTGCTATGGTCTAGATCTAAAATGATGCCTATGCTGGGCATGGTGGCGCACGTGGCGCCTGTAATCCCAGCACTCAGGAGGCTGAGGCAGGAGGATCACCAAAAGTTTGAGGCTAGCCTGGGCTACATAGTGAGTTTGGGGCCAGCCTGAACTACAAGGGGAGACCCTGCCTCAAAACCCCCAAAATAAATACATAAATAAATAAAATGATGCCTAATGTCTCCTATGTTCCGAGGTGGGACTTCTGGAAGGTGATTGGATTATGTGGGTGCAGATCTACTGATGAGTTCCTACTGCAATGTGCTGTTGGGAGGCGGGTCTTGAAGCAGGTGGGTCACTGGGGGTGTGCCCTGGAAGGATATATTCTTATCCCTGGCTCTTCTCTTCTGTATCTGCTTCTTGGCTACCACGAGGTAAGCAGCTTTCTCCACTAGGCCCTTATACCATGTTGTTTCTGTCTTAGAGCCAGGGAACTAGGGAATGAACCCCTTGAAACTGTGAGCCAAAACAAACCTTCTTTTAAGTTGTGTCAGGTATTTTGTCCCACTGATGTGAAATCCAGATGAGGCACTAGAGAATAGCGAGAGTTTGGGATCCAGAGCTAGACTTGTTGGAGGGGAGGTTTATGAATCTGAACCAATGTCTTTAGAAAATTCCAAGGAAAAAAACGGAGAAAGTCAAGTCCCGGCAGTAAGGCCAGAGGACTGAACAAGGTCAAAATCAGGATACAATCCGAGTACCAGGCCAAACTGGAACAGATGGAGAATGGCAGCAGAACTGCTGAGACAGGAGCCAAAGTATCTGTGCTTGCTTTCCATGCACTCCCCAGGTAGTGCACGGGGACCTTCTGCAAGTTTTCCTTCTCCCTTAACTCCTGGTCACATTGTTTTGTCTGCAATTCTGAGAGTCATTCCAGCCCTCCTCCATCACTTTACCACCTTTCACTCTCTGCTGGGATTATTTCTTCCTACCCATCTCAGAACCCTCCAACGTCCTCAATGACCGGAGGCCCAGTATGACATGCATCAAGACCTTCAATCAGCTTGCTTTAATGAACTCTGGAAGACAAATTTTGCATTGGCCTCAAAGGCCACCAAAACTATTCCCTCAGCCTGTGAGTGCTTGGAGATCAAGAAAAGAAGCTCATGGGCCAGGGATTTAGCTCAGCGGTTCTGCCGATTGCCTTGCAAGCGCAAGGACCTGAGTTCAATCCCCGGAACCAAAAGAAAAAAGAAAAAGAAAAGAAGCTTGTGACCTCCCCGATGAGACTCTGCTGCTGTTCAGTGCCATTCCTGGGAAGAGCTGCTTGGACACTCTGTCACACGTCCTGCCCCATCTCATTCCCACACTGGACAATCCACCAAGGACAGGCAACAGGTAATGCGGTCATTTGTCATCAATCTCCTATATCATCTCAGAGATGTACACCTGATCCTCCCAGCTGGGTAATCTACCCAAGCGATACCTCTCTCTTGGACCTCCTTATGGGCCACCCATTTGAGCCTTTACTGTGAGGGCTGTCTAAAAAGGACATGCACACAGTTTTATAGGGAAAAAATAATAATATGCCACTGCAACTCTAGAAAAACTGTTTAGAATCAGCTCAACCAAGATGAAAATGTCATCACTCCCAAGGAAAACATTTTAGGATCAATCCACATTTGCCGTACTTAGAGGTAAACTCACATCCCCACTAGGACTTTTGTTGCTGCACACTCAGAATACCTCTGAAGTCACCAGCCTCGGGGTGGGGTGCAGGGTAGGGGATTGGGGTATTCTCCTGGGATCCTTATTTGGAATGCATTTACTAATGGTGGGTCAGGGTATCCAAACTCTCACAATTTAATGATAAATGCCAGGAGTGCTGAACTCATGGGCCTTTTCTGGCCTGGCATGGGAGCCAGGGTCTGTCTTTGGTTCTCAAGGACAATTTACAACCTTTGGGAACTTACTCATAGTTTTGGGGCTGTCTTTAGTGTGTATATCATATCTATTAAAACTATATAAAATACTTTTTGTTGATAAATCATCAATTATTATCTAAAGCAAACTCTCACCTTTCAAAAGCTCTACTTTCTTCCTGAGAAAATGTTTTTACCAGTATATCTGAGGGGCCAGTTATTTGGTACTATTCCAACAGCCATAAACTCTAAGCTGTCTACACTAGCTAAGAAACACAACTTCCAAAGAACCAACCACTTCACCTGAGATTTCCACCCATTTACTTAATTGCAGCATTAACGAGGCATACCTGGGTAAGGTCACCCTTCAATTCAAGAAGTTTGTGGTCATCCCAGGGGCCTGAAAGGATAGAGAACTGTTTATTGAGTACAGTGTTTACATCATGGGACAAATTTAAATTGTACAGAGAAAAATTCCACCTTCAATTATAGAATGGCAAGCAGTCATTTCTGCCAGGACTCTACTATTGTAGCAACTTATGCCCTTATTAACATAGAGATGTAACAGGAGCATCATCAGCCTGGACAATAGTTTGTAGTGTTCTGCCCGCCTTAACCAACCCAAGTGGCCTATTTCCTGAGTGTCTGTAGAAGAGGTGACACATACACTGAACCAAAAGGATACGAACACTCTTTCAATCAGCAGTTCCATTGTTTTCTTATTCAAGTAATCAGGATCAATAGTAACTTCATCCAGTCTATCATCTAAGGAGTTGTAAACCCAACTCAACTGACGCCCACTACAAACCCCCATGAACTCTCTATAAAGACCCTGTTCTTTGTGCATCAAACTAAAATAACTAGCTACTTGTAAAGGGAGTGCACACAGCAACAATTTATCTTCACACATTCCCCCCCATATCTATCTCATTTAACAGCAAGGAGTTGGAGTTATTGCACTTACATTGTGACTGTCACGCTAAGCAAAGGTGACCATGGGAAAGTCACTTAAGCTCTTTAGATGTTTTTCAACTCTAAAGTGGGATAAATAATAATTACCTCACTTGTTATTAAGAATTAAATGAGCTAACACTCGAAAATTTCTTAGCATGGGGAAAATATTTTCAATAAATGGTGGCTTTAATGATTTCTCTTGAATAATTGCCCCAACCTTTGTAATGCTGCCAAGCGGTCACTATTATCTCTGCCTGCATGGAGAAGTTAAGTGACAATTCACTAGTGACAGCACCAGGACTTCTGACTCCAGCCCGGGTTCCCAGCACTCCGTCACCCCTGATTGACCTTGTAGACTTTTACAGAATGGGACGCAGTGTCCAGCACAAGCAGTGAATTCTCCTTGGTGAAGGCCAGTGCCACAGGGTGGGCCAGCCCCTGGGTGACCACGGGCTTCAGCACTGGGAAATCCTCGGGTTTTCCTAAGCAGAGGATGGCTGGGCCGGAGGTATCGGCCACAATCACGTTCCCCAGCCGATCAAAGGTCACAGCGGAGACAGTTATTGGGGAGGGAAAGAAGAGGCTCAGCCCGAAGGTGTCCACCTGGCTGAGAAGCTGCATGTCCGCGCTGAACACTTTCACCCTGGTGCTGCAGGGCCGGGTCCCCGGGGACAGGGGGTGCTCCAGGACGGCGATGGCCCCGCTGAGCCACGACACGGCCACCCCCCGGGGGCTGCACAGATGAGCGTGCAGCCTTTCGTTTCTCCGCAGGACCCCTTCGGGGAAGTCCGCTTCCACGAGGTGCAGGGACCCCGCCTCGGCATCAGTGACCAGGACCCCGTTCTGAGGTGTGGCCTCCACGCCCCAAGGTAAGGAGAACTGGCCTCCAATGACAAGCCGGACCTGGCCCAAAAAGTCAAACACTTTGACAGAGCGGTCACCGGCGTCGGTCACAACCACGTGGCAGTCGGAGGTGACGGCGACGTCCAGCGCGTACCGAACGTCCTGCGCCGCGTGCCCCTTCTCTCCGAACTGGTGCGCGCATACGCCCCCTCCAGAGTCGAAGACCTTCACCCGCCTCCGGCCGTCGTGCACCACCACGACCCGGCCGGTCTCGGGGCACAGCGCCAGCCCCGTGGGGTTCACCAGGGTCCCCCAGCCGCCGAAGGCCTGGTGGCAGGCGAGGGCCCGGGGGGCGGCGGCGGGCGCGGCGAGGCCCGGAGGCCCGGGGGCGCCCAGCAGCTCTAGGAGGTGCAGCACGGGCAGGCAGTCGCTGGTGTCGCACGCGCGGCAAGCCCGTCGGCAGAACGGGCACTCGAGCGCCAGAGAGCGCGGGTGCGCCAGGGCGGCGACGCAGGCCAGGCACAGCACGTGGCCGCACGGCAGGTTGCGCGGGCGCCGCTGCTGGCGGGCGCCGAACCGCTCGAAGCACACCTTGCACTCGAGCAGGCGCACCTCGGCCTCGAGCAACAGCTCGGGCGGCGCCGAACCGCACCCCGCCGCCGTGTCGCCCATAACGACCGGGCCCTGCCGCCGGGTCACTGCCAAGGCCACGCAGCGCACTCGGGGCGGAGCGGGGCGGGGCGTCCGCCTGACGTCGGCGCCGCCGCGGGCGCGAGCTGCTGCCCCCTGGCGGGCAGGCGCGGCGCTGTTTCCCGAGGACCTGGTCGTGAACGTTTGCAGAAAGAATTCATTCACCTGCGCCTGGGCGGGCAGCAGTAACAGGTGGACCATCTCCACCTACAGTCGAGAAAACCCCCACTGAGGGCAAGCGAGTTGCTTGCTTCTTCCTTTTTCTGTCCTCTTTCCCTCAGTTTCTTTTTTCCTTTCTTCCTTCCTTCCCTCCCTGTACTAGCATTGAACCTGGTCCTTCACACTGAGCTACATACATCCCCACCCCTTTTCAATTGTTTTCAGTTTTTACTAGTACATACTTGCAGTACATAACGATTATATTCCTTGTGGGGAGTTGGCGCGTGTACACGACACATCTCAGTGCTTTCATTCATCCCCTTCCCCTCCCCTCCTTCCTCCTTCCCTAGCTAGTCCTTCTAGCTCTTGGACCCCTTCGCATTTGTACTTCCTATCACTTGCCTTTTATTTTGCTCTTTATTTATACTTTCTATTTCTCATATGAGAGAAGTCGTGATAATTAAGCTTGTGTGTCTGATTTATTTTATTTCACATTATGGTCTCAAGGTGCATCCATTTTCCTACAAATGACTCAAGTTTATCCTTCTTTATGCCAGGGTAACTGCATTCATCCGTTAAATTTTGAGATAGGGTCTCGCTAAATTGCCCGGGCAGAGCTTAAACTTGAGAATCTTCTGCCTCGGCTTCCCAGAGTGTTGGGATTACAGGCCTAAATCACCATGCCTGGCTGGTGGCTCCCTATTTTTCAGTCTGGTAAGTGACAAAGCGAAAACTAGAACCCAGTCTTCGGAGGCTGGAGCCCCAGCAATGATTCCAGTCTGCAGTGCTGGGTGCTGGATCCAGGGCTAGCCAGGTAGAGCGCATGGGCCCTTCCAACATGATACTTAGGATCAGACTGGGAAAACACAGACACAGTTACACCGCGAGGGGCTGAGGCAGATGTGTTGTGTTACACTGTAGTAAAGTAGTTGTTTAGTGAACGCCTGTAGAATGAGTTTGCGTATGGAAGAAGGAATATTAGAGGACAATACAAGAGATCCACTAGGAGAATGAGTCTGAGATGGGAATGTCCTTTGGGGAGAAAATCTGAAATAGAAAGCCATTAGTTAGTAATGGTGGCTATAGCCAGGCGTAGTGGCACACCCCTGTAATCCCAGCACTCAGGAGGCCGAGGCAGAGTTGCCACGAGTTTGAGACCAGCCTGAGTTACACAGTGAGTTCAAAACAGGCCTGAACTACACATAACTATAGAATTTACTTTGCTCCTGTCTTTCTCCACAAACCTCATGGCAATCCTGCACGTGTGTGTTATCTTCACTGCACTTCTCCTACAACAGAGTTCATGGAGGTTAAATACCCTGTCTAGGGTCAAAAGGCTAGGAAGCTACTGGGCTGCACCTCCAGGCCAGGCAGTTTCTCGGCAGAGTCCACTCTCTGAACTACTCCCCTGGGCAGCAGGTTTATTCCCACAAAGGAAACAACTTGGCCTGGGTGTAGTTGGGCTGGTGCAGGCTGCGGACTGCGGGAATCCATCTAGGGATTGTGACAGACACCCACGCTTGAGAACCCGAGTCCTTCAAATTGACACCGGGTTCAAGTCTCCCCAACTCAGTGAAGACCTCAAGCAAAGAGAATCTATCGTATGTTGGGAAATCTTCGAGCAGGACTGAGCACGAGCTCATCAAGATCGCCGTGCCACTACAAACCCTGTGCTTGGGATCCCTCTTTCTCCAAGTGTCTTATGTGAGCAACGTCCTTGGCAAAACCACGTTAGATAATTCCCTCTTACTCACGAGACTTCTAAGAAAACAGGTAATTCTGTCCCCCTGTTAAAAACCCTAGAGAAGCCAGGCATGGTGGCTCACACCTGTAATCCCAGCACCATGGGAGGCTGAGGCAAGAGGATCAATTCAAGCAATTTAGCAAGCTACCGAGGCAACTTAGTAACTTAGCAAGACCTTGCCTCCAAACTAAAAATAAGAAGGGCTGGGGATGTAGCCCAGGGCAAAGGTCCTGGGTTCACTCCTTAGTACCACAAACAAAATAAAAACCCTAAAGAAAGCTTTAATGTAGACAAGAAAGGACATTTTATCATCAAGTGTTATATGATTCAAAGACTGTCTACTCAGTACAACACAATTACCAATGTAACACTGTCATCTCAGAATACACGGTAGGCAAATAACAAAAAGCACATCCAATGGAAATTTCTTTCAGAAGTTATTTTTAACTTCAAGAAACACATTTAGAACATCAAAAGTGGAAAATTTTTAGCATTAGTTTTTAATAGAAATATAATGGGTCACATCATGCATTAAATTTTTTTAGTAACACATTTTAAAGTAAAAAGAAACTAGTGAAGTTAATTTAACTGTATACTTTATTTAACCCAAAAAATTATTCTTTTGACACTATAATCACATTTTAAAAGTTAAAAAGAAAGTAGTGAAACTAATTGTATATTTTACTTAACCCAAGATACCTTAAGACATTCTCTCTTTATTCACTATGAAATATTAATGGGATACTTTGTACTCCTGTTTGTGTATATTGCAGTCACAGCGCATCGAAGATTAACTCCTTTTCAAGCGCAGTGGCGATACTGCCCGGAGCAGCACAATTCTACACCAAATCTGTGCTATGAGATACTATCTTCGCCATTTATTTATTTATTTAGAGGTACTGAAGATTGAACCCAGGGCCTTCGTTGTGAGCTACATCCTCAGTTAATTTTTTCCTTGTAAGACAGTGTCTGGCTAAGTCTTTAAACTGCCTAGGCTGAGCTTGAATTTGTGATCTTCCTGCCTCGGCCTCCCAGACCGCTGGCATTATAGACCTGTGCAGCTACTACACTCAGCTATCCCTGCCTTGCTGCTAATTTGTCAGTGCTCTAACACTGTTTCAAAAGTATTCCACGCCCTCATCTCAAGGCGGACCATAGCTGAGCTTCGGCCCTTTTGAGCTAGCCAGCCAGCCCCGGGAGCGACTGCGGGACTGGACAGAGGGGCGGGAGGCTCCCTGCCGAGAGCTCCCGCCTCCTCCCCCTCCCCTCCCCTTCCCCTCCCCCTCCCCTCCTCCTGCCTTCAGCCTTTCTTCTTCTTTATCTTTTGCTGCCGCCGCGAGGCAAGCGGTGGTAGTGCACCATTGGCTTTGTTGGCAGGGTCGGCCAGAAAAGGCCGCCCCATGGCGTTGCTAAGGACGCTCGTAGCGACCACCGGTTGGTCGGTGGGTGGACTGTCCGGAGGTCCTGGAAATATACACAGATGACCCGCCCGAAGGTGTCACTGTCAAAAATCCAACTGTACAACGTGAAGGCGGCAATACCACTTCCGTGGCATTTGATTCCTAAATTTGGAGAACTGAAGTTTTCCCAATCATGCAGATTCGGAACTAAAGCCCTGTAGGTTTGAGCCTGGCTTCCTAGATGGTCGTTCCCAGCAGTCGTCGTCCCCAGCGTTTGCTGCCTTCCTGGGGGCGTCGCCCCAGCACCTTCCCTTCCGGGTCCTTCTTTCTCTGACCCGGAGACGCGCAGCCCGGCCCTGGCCCTTCACACTGCAGCGCTGGGCCGGTCCCGCCTTCTCCCGGGGCTCCGCAGGGATAGACTGGGCCCACATCTTGCTCCGCACTGCACCCTGGAGCCCAGCACGGGAAAAGAGGAAAAGGGAAAAAAAGAGGAAAAGAGGGAAGGAGGGAAAGGGGAAGGGAGGGGAAGGGGATACTCGGCAGGGTGGGGCTGGGGCAGGACCCATGCTTCCCACGCACGGGGCCTTGCATTCATCCCCGCGCCACCAAGAGAAAAAGGAAACGCTGTTTCGGGAAAATACTTAGTGAGGGGAGAAAAAGGCCGGTGAAATGGAGGGAGGTAGCAGAGACACCAAGTGGAGTCGGTGACTTGATCCCGGCCTCGTGAGAACCCGCGCGCGCGCTTGTACGAGCAGATGGAAAAGAAGGCAGAGAGGCAGTCACCGTCTTGGGAGCCCGTCTCTAGGGATAGGACTTGCTTGTGTGGAGCCAGAGTGACTCCATTTTGGAGCTGTCTCCTTTGTTCTCTCA